ACAAGAAGAGATCGAGCGAGCACCGCAAAAGGGGGCGCAAGCGCTGCTCGAAGTACGCAGGATAAGTGCTGAGGTCAAATCAGAATGTGGTTGGCAGTGTTGAGTGCCATATGTTGTGTTAATGTTGTGGTATCCTGTGTCACAAGTGTCGAAGTGTTGTGCTGTGATGTGATGTAGTATTGTACCATTGTTGTAGCGAGAGAACTTTGTACATTTGTATTATTGGGAATGTGTGGTGGAGTGTTGTACTCATGCGCTTGTGGTTGTGTTTTCACGTGTTGTGTAATTGAATTACAATGTCCAATCGTATTGAGTGATATATTGTGAATGTGAAGAATCATGAGCGACGGATTGTGTTACAGTCTGTGAGAATGTGTGGTGACTGTTCGCGCTCGTTTGTGTGGTTTTGAATATTATGAGATAATATTCTTAAAGTGGGGGGCAGTGTCACAGAACGAGCGCTAAAAATAGGCGCGCCGCAAATTCTTGCGGTAACGCGCGGAAGAAACGCCGCGAAGTCAAAAGAAAAAAAGGGAAAGAAAAAGAAAACAAACGGCCAAGGCTCCCCGGGCGCGCGCTCTCCCCGCAGAAGCGTGGCTTCATCGACGAACCTCCTCACCCCACAACGGCGGCCGAGCAAGCCCGCGATTTTTCTAGAACGAAGGAGGCGTGGCCACGCCGAGATGAGTCATCCGACGCGGAGGGCAGTCGAACCGTCTCGCGCCTCTCCCCAGCCTTCGTTGCGCATCGCGCCGACGAAATGAGGAGAACTTTCTGGAAGGTGGCGCGGAAGGTATTTAATCGAGCCGCCGAGACGAGAAAGCAGGAGGAGACGGAAGTTACCGCCAGAGCGCGTAGGGATTCCGCCGTGTAGTCGGCGAAGGTTTTGGTCCGTAGGGATGAAGCCGGAGATGAAGAGGATTTCCACCTGAGGGGTGAAGGCTCGGGCTACAGGCAAGAGCGTGTGTTTACCGCTATCGAGCGAAGACCCGTGGCAACAGCTGCGGGTGTGAAGCCGACGTGTTCCGGCGAAGACGTTGAAGTTTGGAGAGTGGCCAATTGAAGACGCGAGGTTTCCTGGAAGAGAAACTTCAGGGCGCAGCGGAACGACAACAACGCTGGACTTTGAGTGAGTGATTCTCGGAAGAGTATCATTCAAACTTTTGTTCCAAGGACTTTGGACTGAATAGGTTTTCTATCTCTTTAGTCTTTAAGTGTCTTGGTTGTTAAATGCATGCGACTGCATTGTAGTGTGAATTGTTGTCTGTGTCCGTTGTTTCGAGTGTGGCTGGTTGTTCTGTGTAGTCACTGTTTGATTGGTGACAATATTGTATGCAACTATTGTGGAGTGTGCATTCTTGGGTATTGTTTTCGATCTGCCAATTTTGAGAATATAATTTTTGTTCTGTTTATCAACTGTCGGCTCTGACTTGTTCTTTGGGCCACAGCCGGCGTCTGCTGGCGCGCCAATAAGGACCACTTCTAAATTGTCCACGCTTTCGTGGTGCGGTTCGGGGGGCCGATACTTCGGCTCTTGGAATTAGCCCGGCGATCGCCTCCCTAATTAACGGGACCTGTGTGGCAGCGACAGCGATGAAACTATAGAGCACGTTCTCTGTCACTGCCCTCGTTACAGCATGCAAAGACGGCAACTAGCTGCTGCGTTAGCTCGCCTTGACAACAGACCTTTGTCTGAACAATCAGTGCTTGAAAGGTGACATGATTTGTGTGCTCACAGAAAATCAGTGAAGGCCCTACTGAACTTTTTGCGTGGCAGTGGCCTATTGTATAGACTTTAGCCCCAGCCCACCCCCACCCCCCTTTTTTGCGCGCGCGTCTATTTCCCTCTTCGCTTTCTTTCCCATCTTTCTTCCCCATTCCCCCTTCCCCTTGTGCAGGGTAGCAAACCGGATGCTCCATTTTCTGGTTAACCTCCCTGCCTTTCCCTCATTTTATTCTCTCTCTTCAGGAGGTGGAGAACGCAGAATATCTCTTACGATGGCGATGACAGCAGGTGTTAAACGCTGATTACATAGTCGTAACTCGCTGTTTGCGACGCTACCTGGTGTCGTCGGAAGAGTGGCTCGACGCTCAGAAACCAGAGTTCAGAGTCCGCCTGCCAAAAATCCGGGAGCCTGAAGGTAGTGACGACAGGGTCAGGTACCGTGTGATTCGGCGTGGCATCGCTGTTGGGTATGGTGTCCATGGTCAGCCGAAATGAACGGGACTGAAGCAGCAAAGTTGGCCGTGATGCTTGGTGCGTTGACAAAAGGACGAGGAGGTGCGCGTTGCCGCTCCAAGTCCAAGTCACCACTTGTAGGAAGGCGTGCAGTCGGATAAGCAGTCTGACGGGGAACCCGCGTTGCTAGTGGCCGGGCGAGAGGTTGTAGGAGACGTAGCCCGGGTAGCGAACTCTTGGCCGAGGCAGGGATGATGGCCTGTTGATACCGCTTGCTCTGACTCATGGTAAACCGGGAAGTCACGGGTAAAGGGAAGCGGGTGGTAGATGAGGCCGCAGGAGGCCAGCACCGAAGAGCAGAGGTAATCGTACAGCTGCGGGTCTGAGTTTGAAGTGGCAGTGAGATGACGCAGTTCTACCGGAAGGGTGCCGAGAAGAATGGCGTGCATCAGCGACTGGTCTGTGACGTCATTCACTGCAAGAACGGCGTCGAGCTGCATAAACCATGCCTTGGGTAGGTCGATTCGAACGGCGGCACTGGCGGGCAGAGTCGCGGGGACATGGCAGCCGATGGCACGTCGAAGGGCGCGTCCTTCAAATCACCAGGTCTTTCAGGTCCGGAACGGTGGCAGAGGCGGGTCAAAGTGTGGCTGGAAGGCTTGAGCTGGCTGGAACGTGGCCGCGAAGCTCACAGGCAGTGTTGCAGTGCGTGCCACTTGTCCGTTGGTGCGGGGTCACCACTTGCAGAAAATGTATGGCGTTTGATTTCCTACATACTTTATTTATCCCTGCTCTGGCATTGACGTCCACAGAGGCTGTCGTTCTTGCATGACCTCTACTTCTCTCGTGCTGGCTCGAACACATGGAGCAGCTGCGGCACAACTTCTTCGTCTTTTTCGATACGCTGACGGCTTACCATAGTAGTATGAACTCCAGCTCTTCCTGGCAACGAAGCCAGGAAGCTCTTCCTGGCAACGAAGCGGCAAATGCCGCTTCCCGCGCTTTTGCCCTCCGGGCCACTGCCCTTCCATGTCCTAAGTCGGATCCCGGGAACTCCAGTCTGACACGCTACCGTGATGTTCTAGATTATTATCGCTGTTTGCACCGACTTTTACCTGGCCCCGCACGTGGTCTGGCGTAAGCGCACGAACTACTGCTATGCCGCCTGTAGACAACACTTTCTTTAGCCCGGCGATCACCTGGCACTTCATACCGGAAATCTCTGGCACGTGTCCAACCTGTCAAGTGTTAGCAGACACCTTTCCCGTTGTGGCTTCATGTCCTGCCCCTGCACTCCCTTTCTCATGCCCCTTCTTCATCCCATCAGAGATGCTTTAGAAGAGTAACTGCTCGGCTGCTCTACCTTGGATGCGCAACGCTCCTTGGTGGTGCGCACCCATGCAGCGGTGATCTCTGATGGCGTCCCAGACTAGGAAATGCCATTTAAACGCACAGAAACTCTCTAGTTTATTCAAAATAAAAAAAATGACCACTACCAGCTGGGCAGATGACGGGCGCGCTGAAACGAGAGAAGTAGTTATACGAGCGGAGTAAATATTGAGAAAAGTGGCTACTTCATTCGCCAAATCAGACGTTTAAAATCAGCCTGAAAATAGCCATGGAGCCAGTCGAAAATTCTTGTCGCAGTCGAAAAGCGTAACCAATTTAGCGCAAAGCAGCCTTCAACCGCTACCATGCCCCTGTCTTACTTCGCTCAACGAGGATGAACCGGCATTCTCACCTGGTGCAATTGAGCTATGGAATATGTTGTAGAGTTATGTAGAAAATATGAAAAAATTATGTTCATAAGTGCGTGCACTTTCATCACGCACGACTTATAGTAACGATTAATCTGACTTCAGTAACTGTTATATATGTTTCTAGTTTGGTTGTAACATGCATTTACATATACAAGTAGAGCATGTCTAAATTGTTTAAGCAATTAATTATTGTGTGTCTGCCTAATCAATACGATGGTAATCACACTGAATAGAGGAATAATAAAGTTTCCAAACAAATAATTACTCTTATTTTGGGATCCAAATTCCGGAACTTTCGACGTTAAAGTTGAGGCGCAAATTGGTGGTCTTGTTGTGACAAACCTTGTCCATTCCTGCAACTGCACAGTTCAGAGGTGTGTCATAAGTGTACGCCACTTCTCAAATGCCCTGCGTAAATTTCTTTGCCCATTCCGTAAGTAAGAAAAGCCAAACTGCTTCTCCCGAACCTCGCTCTGTAACCATATCAACGCCGGAATAACAAAGAGGATGGAGAGTTTCGTTGCTTTTGTGCAAGATAAATTCCCAGTCATTCGAAAGAATTTTCGCGTGATTTTCCCTATCGCATATGTTGTCAGAGACAGGGCAGCCACCCACCGCCAAGAATATTTGCAGTCTGTACACATACACGTAGGCCTGCAAAGCAGCGTGATCTGACGTTTATCTAGGAAAGCCTTATCTTCGGATGCAGCTGCTTGATAAGGTGAGCGTGTGTTCCATCTGAACCTGCTGTTGTGTGCGTAGCACTATCTTGCAGTTGAATTCCGCGTTAAACTTGGAGTTCCCAACGCTCTTTGGCGTGGGACCACACACACACACACATATATATATATATATATATATATATATATATATATATATATATATATATATATATATATATATATATATATATATATATATATATATATATATATATATATATATATTTGGTCAGAACGCGCACGTAACGTCACCGCAAATGTATCGCGGCGCGTCACATGACGACGTCTACTAAAGCACTCCCTGGCGCGCGTACGGCGAAGCCGCGCGCACAGTGTTCTGTGGAGCTCAACAGTCGGCGCCACCGGCGGCAGAGGCGCGAGGTCAGCGGCTCTTGTTGTAAGGGAGCCGGTTTTTTCGTTTGAAAGTTCGTCGGTTGTTTTTGGTTGCGGCGCGGTGGCGCGCAACAAGTGTGCCCGAAATGGACGACAAGAACGAGCCGCGCGAGAACGACAAGTGCATGGCCCAGCAGGGTGAGACCACTACCGGAGGAATGTCCAAGCTCCGCGCCCAGGTCACCTCTGCAGTGGCGAACATCCCGTCGCTGGTGATTGTACTGTTGTGCGTGTTGTTGCTCGTCTTCTTCGTCATCATAGTCGCACTCTCGGTCAAGGTGCACTCGGGCTCCACGGCGCCCGATGATCGCTGCCTGTCGGCGGCCTGCCTCGGCTCGGCGGCTCGCGTGCTCGCCGGTCTTCGGGAGGACGTCGCGCCCTGCAAGGACCCGTACGCTCTGGCGTGCCGTCCCGGCGTGCCTCGTCGCCAGCACGCGGTTCGGCACCTGGTGGATCTGGTGCCCTTCGACGGTGACCAGGCGTCGGCCGAGCTGAAGGCGAAGCGATTCTACGAGACGTGCATGGAGCCCCGTAGCCTGAGCCAGGACGCACTGGCCCTGCTCAACTACCGGCTGCGACAGGTCGGTGGCTGGGAGCTGGTGGCCAGCTCGTCATGGTCCCTGCAAAGCTGGGACCGCGACACCGCCCTCGAGAAGCTGCACGTCGACCTGGGAGTGAGCCCATTCTTCGCCGTCGGAGTGGCCGACCGAACGATTCGGGTGAGATCCTGTTTACGACCTCGATTCGGCCATTCTCATTCGGCTACAGGGGGCGCGTCACGACCAGTGGTGCCTTCGTCACAAGTGCAGCGCGCAACGTAATATTCGGTAGTAGGAAACAAGACTGCGTAGAAAACTGACGAAAGCGTGACCAGGAATTAATGGCTGAGACGCGAGCACTGCACGCCAATGAAATTTCGGGGTCAGCCCTCGTATCTTCAGTCAGTGGGCTGCGCAGCGGCGCGTTTCCATGGAGTGCCTTCTTCTGCTTTGACAGACTTTTGTGTGAACGTGCGCACCTGTAACACACATGTTTCTAACTACAGTAGTGGCCATACGCTATAAAGAAAAAAAAAAACAGTAATGGGTTAGTTTATCTGGTCGTACATTACGCAGAAAAGAAGAATACGTACTTTATTCGTCACTCACTGCCCAATCAATTCCCGAACAGCAATCGGTTACGCATGAGTTACTGTTGTTTGACCATTGATTATCATCGCTCGTACACAGCACACACAGAATGAGATGGGTTATGTGCAGCCCGTAACATCCCCTCTTTAAGCAGTGAAGCCGGGGGTGGGGGGGACGCGTAATTTTATCTGCCTGATCACCCTCTTCAAATGTATTTCTGGCTATTCTACTTGCCTTCATCAAAAATTTGTAGCAACGCTGAAAGTCGTTCAGCGTGCGCAGTTCAGGTACAGTGTCTATAAATATTTGTCGGTCACCATTCCGTAGACTTGCGAGGAAAGCAATCACCCGACATGCCCGTAGCCAGGAAGTAAAAATAGGACCCTTGCCCCCCCCCCCCCCCCCCGAGAAATTAGGAGGGAGTTTGAGTTTTATTCAGGACAAATAAAATAAAAAAAAGAATCACCTCACAAGCCCGTTACCAGGGAGAGGGATATGCCCCTACTTCAAGATATTTGACGGAGGGGGTGTTTTATTGAGCACAGTTTAAATGCAAAACAATCACCCGACAGGCCCGTAGCTAGGGGGGGGGGGGGAGGAGGAGGCCCCTGGTTTCCCATGCCACTAAATTTAGATGGAGGGGGGTGTCTTGCCGGAGACAAATAAGTGTCCTTCAAGGGCGTCTATAAGACTTATCGGGCAAAATACGAAGGGGTAGACTCCATACTTATGTGATTCTCAAGACGGAAAAGAAGATTAAAGTGAGCCCCGTAACCGTCTGCATCAGAGTGCGACATCTCAAGAGTAGCTGAGATGAGGCATGGGGAGTCGCCCCAAATACGAAGGGGTAGACGCGGTATGCAGTGCGTGTGGCGAGGAGGAAACTGCCGAACACTTTGTAATGTTCTGTAGAGGGCTTCACCCTTTAGTTCAGGATGATGGCACTGAGTTTTCCAAAGCACTGGGGTTCAGGGAGAGGGAAGGCAAAATAGACTTTAAGAAATAACTAAAAGGAGGTTATCTGATTGGTTTCTACAAGCAAGGCATGAGTGACAATTAAATTCTTCACTGCGAAGTGCCAGTTTTAACCTCACTATATAAAGGGGGAAAAAAGATAAATCTAGTGTTTGTTCCCTAAGTATTACGGTTAGGTGGCGTTAGCCGCCGCCCGATCTAAAGGGTACCGATCCATCCGTCTATTCAATCGGCCCTTCCTGAAAAAAAAAAAAAAATCCTGGCTATAGTTGTGCTATTCGAATTTGCGTTTCCGAATATACGGTGAGCTGGATTGCCTAGTTTTTCGCATGCACGCTCTGATGACTGAAGAAAAAAAAATAAATAAAAGAGAACATCGTTTATAAATCGAATTGAACCAAAGACATGAAGACGAACTTTGGGCCGGGACACCACGAGGAACGAAAAGTTGTCAGTATTACCAGAAGCTTTGCCCAATCTGGGCCGATAAGGATAATATAGATTATCGGTCTATAGGAACAAAGCTTCGCAGTACAAATAAAATGTTTTTACAGATAACATGGAGATACTGCTTCGAAAGGAGCCAAGCCGAGGCGTTTCTCATTTACCAGGGATCGAATAGCGGGCAGCCGAACTAATTTTGCATTGAGTAAGGCATCATTGGGCATGGTACCGAGTCTATTTGGGCGAAGTTGACCTGAGCAGTACTGTGCTACATTTCTGCAAAAGTTTGCGGCTGAAGTTGTGGCGAGCACACCTTGAGCCTTTCTGTCGTAACGGACGACTCACACAGTATTCATTACGGCACTGGAGAAGCTGCTGGCCAATAGGAGGACCTCAAGTTCCCCTCACTTTGTATTCGTCCGCGCTGCGTCGTAAGCTCGGTGCCTTTGACAGTAACACTGAAAAAAAGAAACATTCCGGCTCCAGACGTCTCAAGTTTATGATGTCCTCGTTGCGCGATTTGTGGCCTGTAAGTTCGAAGCTGACGCTTGTGTTTGCTGCATGATTGCGTCATGATGCTGCGACAGCAATGCGTTAGTGACGAATGGCCTCAAGGGGCACAACTGGAAATGCCAGCGCTACTATCATCGGCGTGACGTTTTTAGCGGGATCACGCGGTCTCAGCGACTGCTTGTGAAGCTGAAGAATAAATCTGAGCGCTGTCCCTAGTACTGCAGCGGGCCTGTCATTCACCTGCGGAGGAGAGCAATGAAATTGGGATTCAATTTTGAACCATAAGCACTTTTTTGCTGATAATGCAAATACTACGCATATTATGAATTAAAAGTGGGTCGTTTCTTGTTCAATTGTTAGGTTTGGCTGAGCAGTGAACTCGGAAACTTGCCCAGAAGTAATACTTTCTTACCGAAATCTATTGAATTGAACACGAACCTGTAGGCGACGTCTATGCCTGAGGAACATGAAAGGGTCCTGACGTCAAGTAAATAAACGATTGAAGTTATTGGGTCCTTCATGAAAGTTTTTCGTGGGCGGGATGGTGACCGCTGTGGGTGGAGCTTACATTTATTCCTAGGTAAACAAGTTTCAAGCTCCGCTTGCGCAGTTCGAATGTTCTCTCATCTCCAACACAACTTAACCCACTGATTTTAATAGGAGTGGCTGCCCCTGAAAGAGGTGAACATGCTGTTTTTATTGCCGCAGTGCCGGACGTACTCAGCGGAGCCCTGTGTCGGCCTGCACCGGTAGCTATGGGAGCGTGAAAAGCATTGGTTGTGGAACCATGCGGCAAGAGGCATCGTGGCTTCGAGTCGAGTGTGCGTCCCGCGACGGAGCTTTGATGTTGAGCAGTCGACAGCGCGCTCTCAGACGATGGATGGGAAATGTGCGTTACCATCTGCATCGTCGGCCCAGCCTGGGCTGCATTCATGCATTCCCAAGATGATAGCCACCTTCTCGTCGGTCGATTCATATTTTTTTTTCTTTCTCAAAAAAAAAAAAGGGATGGAACTAAACGCCGACTTGACAAGGGTCATCCCGACTCTTGGTTACATGGCAGTCTAGTGAAGATTCATTTTCCGTAAAAAAATTGGAAGATCCCATGTACAGTGGGAATCGATGGTATGCGAAGCACGCATGAGAAATGTTATGTGACATCAAATCACCACAACAGCCCCGCCGCGGTGGTCTAGTGGCTAAGGTACTCGGCTGCTGACCCGCAGGTCGCGGGATCGCATCCCGGCTGCGGCGGCTGCATTTCCGATGGAGGCGGAAATGTTGTAGGCCCGTGGGCTCAGATTTGAGTGCACGTTAAAGAACCCCAGGTGGTCGAAATTTCCGGAGCCCTCCACTACGGCGTCTCTCAAAATCATATGGTGCTTTTGGGACGTTAAACCTCACAAATAAAATCAATCAAATCACCACACCGTTACGAGGCGCATAGATGTAACGTACAGTTAATGGTGAATGTTGTGCGCACTCAGGTATCTAGATAAGATGCAAGTATGTTGTTTATAGTCGCACAACTAACGTTTGCAATACCAGCCCAAGCAGTGGTACGCATGTAAATTATGCCGTACATGACTTCCATGTCATTATTATCATGTTTGCGCCTGGCATTTGTGTTTGTCGTCCATTCTCGTCACGTAATACCAAACTTGCCATATTCGAAGCTAGCGAAACGGCCGCCAGCGCATCATGAGTGGGGCATGTAGTCATCTTTTTACATGCACGCATTTCATGATAATCGTGTTGGCATCAGTTTCATATCTTCGTCATCCATTCATCTCACATGATACCAAATTTGGTATGTGTGAAGCTAGCGAAACGGCCGCAAGCGCTTCATGAGCGTAGCATGCATACCTGATAATCCAGGAGACTGTCAGATTTTGACCATTTCTTCCGTTTGTACGGTTGTCGTGAAAATCTCCCGGAAATCGAAATTTCTGTGCTTGATCTGGCTGCATTGGCGAAAAAGCAGCTCAGTCCGTTCCAGGCTTTTCGGACCTATCCCATTTTATTATGAATGAGTTTAAGAGGCATTCATCTAAACGTACAGTAGAATCTCAGTGATATGAAACCGTGGCAGATAAGAATTCGTGAAAATCTCCGGCCAAATTCCACTATGTCCGTTAAGCCTACATTCGAATGTTCCGAACACATTTCTTAATCGCGGTGGGTGATACGAACTTTAGTGTGCAAACCGTCGAACTAAGGCTGAGAGCAGTGTACTCGAAGCTCCTGAAGTACGCGTGCGACTGGCGCACGCACTGTCTTCTATACAGTGCGTGTGACTTTCGTTGTTACAACCGCCTATGGATGAAACCGCAGTCGCTGTTCACACGATCATGTATGGCGACGACGTAACTGACTGAACCTCGAAAGTGTGCGCTCAACCAGTTGAGGCAACGCTGCTTTCCTCAAACTCTGCGGACACAGCTGCGGCAGATGCGATTGTAGATGGAATAAAACGACTTAGTTTTGGTGGGTGCGCATTCAAGCGCACGGGGATTGTAAAAGGAACTACCGTTTGCCGCAACCGCCGTGCACAAAACCGTGGCGACGGGATAGCGATCTACGAGGTCCGAAGGCACGCAGCGGTACACAAAGGTAGTTAATACGCAAAAGGAAAAGTCGCCGTTTAAGTTTCGCCG